TTTTATTATAACATATAAATATACACATTATATTATTACTAAAGAACTTTCCTTATAAATATAAATATATATATATATATATATATATATATATATATATATATATTTATAATATATACATATCCAACCGTCCATGGATAATTATTCATACCCATCAAATCCCTTATCCACATAATCCATGGAGCCCAATTAGTTGGTCCATTACCACAATTCATATCTAATTCCTTAAAAATATAAAAATAAATAAAAATAAAATAATTAAATTCCTAAACAAATACATATCATCACACACAATTTTATTTAAATAAATAAATCAATTAACACATTTAAACAAATAATTAAATCAATTAAACAAGTAAACAATTAGCCAAGAAATCAACTAAAAAATTAAATGCAATTAAAATAATTTTAAAAAAATACCGAGACTATCCTTTTAAAATCAGGGGTATTACAACTATGCAGAACAACTCGCTCGCCGAACTTAGGCCTGAGATTGACGCAGTGAGAGTTGCAGAGGTCGCTGTCGCCAGAGGTTTCATTGCCAGTGTGCCAGTCACCATTGTCGTTGCCTCTACCACGATTGAAGTAATGGTTGGCTTGAATAACAGTTGTCGTTAAGGGTTGTTGAACATAGGCCTGAGATTGACTCAGTTATGTGTTGTTGAAGAAGAAGAAGAAATGTGTTTAGTTACATGAGTAATGGTGTCCCAAACCAGTTTGGCCTAACCCCTTGGGCATTTTTGGAAAACCAAAAGGGCAAAATGGGTATTATAACATTAATTTGTGTTAGATTTCTGATTAAGGGGTATTTTTGCACAATATGAAAAGAATATGGGTATTTTTTGCACACATTTTCAAATAAGGGGTAAAAGTGCTACCTAAAGTATACATTGGGGGTGTTTTCTACACTTACCCCTATTATAATAGGATAGTTGTGTAATTGTTATCATGAATTTATTTGTATGCGATCAAGGGAACTATTTTTTTATTCATAATTAAATAAGGTTTAATAATAGAAATTATAATCATTAATTTTAGTTAGAATTGTGAAGATTGGGTATCTTCTTATTATATTTGTAATTGATTCTATAATTGTACATGATTCAATAAACCCTTTCATTCAAAAGATTAGAATGATTATTAGTGACGAGTCATTGTTTTGATCTATTTGTATTTGTTTGATAAAGTATCAGATATGGTGGAAGATATGAATTAGAAAACGAACTTGTGTGTATTATATTATTATTATATATAATATAACATAAATATACCATTATGTTTACATATGAACTTGCATATATTCGTCATGTGAATTGATTTTAGAAATTCTCTCTCTCTGTATAGATTGAATTAAATATATATACTGGCATCAACTCTATTAACTATATAGTGTACCGTGTAGATGCTAATGATAATATATATAGATTATTTAGATATCTTTTCTAGATAATTTTGAGAATGAATCTTGTGAGTTGATTGTAGGCCTGTGAATGGGTTAGATGACAGGGAACTTTATTGACTTTCATAATTTTGGTTTGTTACCAAGTTCTGGGCATGCAAATCAAATTGGCATGTTAGTGGGTTTGTGTAAGCCAAATTGCGGGCAAGTGAATGGGAGAAAGTATGGCCTACCCCATATGAATTTTGAATTGGGTTTAGACTAACTATGTTTACTTTTTAAATTTGTTATTTTTGGGTTCACTCGTGTATGAAATTAAATATTACTTTTAGGTGATTTTTAAGTATTTTGCATTAAATAAATTAGGGAAATAGTAATTATATTTAAAAAATTACAGAACATTCCAGTTTACTTTTTTTCATCATATTGAACCCAATTGTGATGAAATTCTGTTTTTTAGATGATGTCTAGATAGTTTAAATGAAATAAAACTTGAAAAAGTATTATTTTCAGCACTAAAATGGAGAGTATGGAAAAACTATTAAGTGTTAGATTCTAAAATTTTGCAGGGTCATGTATCTAAGGTTAGGTTATGTCCAGAAATTTTGTACTCGTACTAGTTGGGTCATTAGAGTTCTTTTATTGAATTAAATGTGTATTTTGGTGCTTTAATTATTAATTTGAATTATTAATTAATAATGTCTTTCATAATTCACCATAATTAATAATTAATGGGTGAGTTTGAATAGGTCGGAAGGTAGTCAGGGACTGACCCTATGATGACTTTTGGGTGTGGTCAGGGACCTACCTATTTGGAAGTGCACTACCCTTTTTATTATGGCCATGGGTCTAATGAGCCCTTATTGTGTGGATGTGATCAGGGATCATTTGGGGAGTAGACGTACAATCCAGCCACACGTGTGTTTTCGGTAGTCAGGGACTATACGATTCACACCACTTTATTGGATGGGAGCCTGGGGCTCATATGGGATATGTGGATTTATTAAAAGTAAATGATGATTATTTATGGGTTTATAATTAACTGGGTTATGTATATTTAATTAATGCATTTGTTGAGTTGCTTATATATATGGAAATATAAGGTAAGGTTAGCTTGTTGAACGATGATTGTGTTTAGCATTTCTTGCTGAGCTTGTGAGTTCACCCCATTATCACATTTCAGTTGCTCGTAGAGTAAAAATGTGACGGAGACACGTGACAGGGACGGATTTTAGCTCGTTGCACATTTATTTAGTTTTTACTCGGTTTTCCTTTTATTATGATCATTGTAATAAAGTTGGTGATTTGTGAGACCTTGTTTAGTTGACTGAGTGGTTATGGATTTTTATGATGTTAGAGGAAATTTCACCTCTATTCATTATTTGTATCAATTTGTCAGACTCTCATTTTAATAAAATTGAATGATGAGATTCTTCGAAATTCTATTTATGATGGATGTATGTTGAGAATGAGTGGAAGTTATACTTTAAATTTTTTATGCAGAACAAGTAGTTTTTGTATTAAAATTTAGGGTGTGACAATTTGGTATCAGAGCCTAGGTTAAGAATTACCTGGCTAAATGAAGTGATAGTAAGAATATGAGCATATACTTATACGAATTATTTGTTTTCTTACCATGCTCCAGTTTAAAGTATAAGTTACTTGTGAGACTTATCATTGACATTCTTTATTGGAAATAGGATGTCAGGAGCTGGAAGAGGCAGAGGACGACCTCATAGAGGCAGAGGTCAGGGAGGTGCTGGTCATGGTGGTGTTGACCATGACAATGTTCTATTGGTGGATACACCTTATGCATCGAATCCTATGATTGGATTTATCAGAGATATACGCAAATTGGGAGCTGTTGAATTTGTCGAACCTACCGATCCACTTGATGCCGAGAAGTGGATTGAAGATATGGAAAAGTATTTTGAGACGATAGACTGCACTGAGGTGCAGAAAAGGAAGATTGGTGCTTTTCTTTTATCTGGTGAGGCACGCCAGTGGTGGCAGTTAGAGACCCGGATGGTTATGGACATTACAGCTATAACCTGGGATGATTTTAAAACTCAGTTCAACGACAAATACTTCCCACTATCAGTGAGGGAGAAGAAGGCAACTGAGTTCATGCAGCTGGAATAGAATAATGAGATGTCAGTTAGTGAGTACGAGAGGAAGTTTACAGAGCTATCCCGATTCGCTCCTCACATTGTTGCAAATGAGTTGCACAAGGTTAGAAAAGTTTGAGCGAGGGTTGATCTCTCATGTGAAGAAGTTTGTGGTGGGTCATCGTTGTGATACATATGCTAAAGTGGTGGAATGTGCCATGGTGGTAGAGGAGAATAATATCATTGCCTTTCAGAAACAGAAGGAGCGTAAGGCGGAACAGAAAAGTAAAGGGGCTAGTAGCTCTCAACAGAATCAGAGGGGTCAGCAGCAGTAGACTCAGAGAAACTGGCAGGGTCAGTCTTGGCAGAGAGGTAGACAAGATTGGCGAGCTGGGAAACATCAGAGAGTTGGTGAAGGTGATCAATCTACAGCTTTAGTACCAGCCATGCCTCATGATGCACAGCCATATCAATTCAGCGGGCATTGCTACAATTGTCATGAGCAAGGACATTTGGCTCGTAATTGTCCCAAGCCTCACAAGAATAACCAGCAGAGAGGTCAGGCACCACAGTAGCACGGAGGTGTAAGGTTTAATGCAGTTGTTCCAGATGGGAGACAAGACTGTGCACCACCAGCAGTGGAAGGTACACTTACTATTTATGGCAGTATAGCTAGAGTATTATTTGATTCAGGTTCTTCATATTCTTTTATTGCACTATCATTTGTGGACACACTGGGATTAGAACCTGGACATAGAATATGTTGTGCTTGTCCTATTACAATTGGGGAGTTGGAGTATCCTATTGGTTTGATAGTATTGCGTATGAGAGACTTTGATGCTATACTGGGTATCGATTGGTTGGCTCGATATCATACTCAGTTGGACTGTCATGAGAGGACTATTGTATTTTCAATTCCAGGATAGTCACCTTCTCGATATAAGTGTGGAGAGTTCGAGGGCACCATGACTATGGGATTTCTCGCCCACATTTAGGTGGTTGAGCAACGCGTGACTATACAGCAGTTGTCTACAGTGTCAGAGTATGCAAATATTTTTCAAGATATTTCGGGTTTACCTCCTAGGAGGGCAGTGAATTTTTGCATCGACCTCACTCCTGGTATTTCACCTATTTCTAAGGCACCCTACAGAATAACGCCAGTTGAATTAAGTGAGTTAAAGAAGCAGACTCAAGAGTTGCAAGATCGGGGGTTTATTCAACCTAGCACATCACCTTGGGGAGCACCTGTTCTATTTGTCAAGAAGAAGGATGGGTCACTCCGCTTATGTGTTGACTATTGTGCGCTGAATAAGGTCACTATTAAAAACAAGTACCCATTGCCACGCATTGATGATTTGTTTGATCAACTTAGAGGGGCGCAATTGTTCTCTAAGATTGACTTGAGAACTAGCTACCATTAGTTGAGGATTAGGGAGGAGGATATTCCTAAGACTGCCTTCAGGACTCGTTATGGCCTTTATGAGTTCTTAGTCATGCCTTTTGGGTTGACTAACACTCTGACAGCTTTTATGGATTTGATGAATCTAGTGTTTCGACCTTACTTAGATCAGTTTGTTGTGGTATTTGTTGATGACATTCTGATATATTCTAAAACTAAGGAGGAGCATGAGAGACACTTAAGCATTACACTTCAGACTCTACGTGATCATCAGGTTTATGCTAAGTTTGAGAAGTGTGACTTTTGGCAAGAGCAGATTCAGTTTTTGGGGCATGTGATCTCTAAGGATGGAGTTTCAGTAGATTCTGCCAAGGTGGAGGCTGTGATGAGTTGGAAACAGCCTGCTACTGTCACTGAGATTCATAGTTTCTTTGGACTGGCAAGATACTACAGGTGCTTCATTGAGGGTTTCTCCAAGATTGCTGCACCTTTGACTCGTTTGACTCGGAAGGACGTGAAGTTTGTTTGGGATCACCGTTGTGAGCAGGCATTTAAGGAGCTGAAGACGCGATTGACTTTAGCACCAGTTCTTACCATTCCTGTTAGTGGTGAGAGATTTGTGATTTACACAGATGCATCACATCAGGGTCTTGGCTGTGTTTTAATGCAAGATGATAAGGTGGTAGCATATGTTTCTAGGCAGCTTAAGCCACATGAGCAGAATTAACCCGCACATGACCTGGAGTTGGCAGCAGTAGTTCTTGCATTCAAGGTGTGGAGGCATTACTTGTATGGTGAGAACTTTGAGTTATCTCTGATCACAAGAGCCTCAAGTACCTCTACACTCAAAATGAGTTGAATATGAGGCAACGGAGGTGGATGGAGAAGATAAAGGATTTTGATATGACCCTTCAGTATCATCCTGGAAAGGCGAATGTGGTAGCAGATGCCTTGAGTCGGAAACCGAGAGGATTAGTTACCTTTATGATGATTCAGGAGTGGATAATGTTAGAGGTATTGGCAGAGTTCTCTATCATGCCGAGTTCTCAGAGTACACGGACTCTTCTTTGTAATTTGACCGTACAACCTAGTTTGATCAGCCAGATCATTCATGCTCCGACTCAAGATGACAAGTTACAGAACAAAGCAAGTGACGCTGTTAATGATAAAGGTAATGTCGATTGGACGTATGGAGCTGATAGTGGCATGAGATTTTGAGGTAGGCTATGCGTTCCAGACTTAGTAGACCTCAAGAGAGAGATTTTAGAATAGGCACACCACTCTAGGTACACAGTGCACCCAGGTGGCACTAAGATGTATCATGATCTTAAGAGGCAATTCTGGTGGGAAGGCATAAAACGTGATGTGGCAGAGTTTGTGTCTAGATGTCTCACTTATCAATGAGTGAAGGCTGAGCACCAGAGACCAGTAGGACTATTACAGCCTTTGCCCGTGCCTGAGTGGAAATGGGAGCATGTGACGATGGATTTTGTTGTGGGGTTACCGAGGTCGATACATAACCATGATACGGTGTGGGTGATAGTGGACCGATTGACTAAATCAACTTATTTTCTACCTATTCGAGCTACTGATACTGTAAAGGAATTGTGTAAGATCTATATCAAAGACATAGTTAAGCTCTATGGAGTGCCGGTGTCTATTGTTTTAGATCGTGATCCTCGTTTTTCATCTCAGTTTTGGGGTAGTTTCCATGCAGCTTTTGGTACTCCTTTGAGTTTGAGTACTGCTTTCATCCTCAGACCGATGGCCAGTCCGAGAGGGTCATTCAGGTGCTGGAGGATATGTTTCGTGCTTGTGCGCTAGATTTTCGGGGCAGGTGGGAGGATCACATTCCACTGGTTGAGTTCGCTTATAATAACAGCTATCAGGCTAGTATCGGTATGGCACCGTATGAGGCACTTTATGGTAGACCTTGTCGTTCACCTGTATGTTGGGCTGAGGTTGGTGATAACAGTTTTTTGGGGCCAGAGTTGGTGCAAAAGACTACGGAGAAGGTTACCATCATTTGAGATCGATTTCGCACAGCTTAGAGTCGACAGAAGAGTTATGTAGATCGACGCCGTCGAGCTTTGGAGTTTAGTGTGGGTGACTTGGTGTTCTTGAAAGTATCACCAATGTAGGGGGTTACGAGATTTGGTAAGAAGAAAAAGAAGCTAGCTCCTTGATTCATTGGACCTTTTGAGATCACAGAGAGGATTGAGGAAGTGGCATATAGATTGGCTTTACCACCCAGACTCTCTGTTGTTCATGATGTTTTCCATGTCTCCATGTTGAGGAGGTGATTGAGGGATGAAACTGACGACGGCCGTTCCAATACGTCAAACTGAATATAGTGAATGTGTGGTTCAAGAAAAGCCTTTTATGTCAAATTTAAATTTATAAAAACCACTACCAACACCACTACTAACGTAGCAAGAGTGAGTAGGGATCGTCCCAAGGGATTATACGTGTTAGAATTTCAACTTCGACTCTAGCGTACCAAATGATTGCAAAAGAGAGTTGGGTTGGTTGATTACTTCTAGAAAAGAATTAATTAAAATGCAATTAAAATAAAACTAAGTAGAGATAGGGATTTAAGAGATGAGAAGAGAGGACTTAGAGTGTTGGAATCACCACTAAGCTTGTGTAATTAACCACTTGCTTTCCATTAATGAGGAATACATTATTGTGAACAAAATTGGTTCGACTAGCAAAGGTGACTCAACAAGTGTATAATGTCTAAACAACATGTGAAAGGCTACAATATATCTATTGGAAGAGGAATATATTGTCTAGACAACATGTGAAGAGAACAAAATATCAAATCAAGTCATTAAACCTTTCATTAAGCTCATAGTCCAAATAATTCACAAGGTTGACTTAGTTAAACATGTATTGTTTAAACATCATGTGAGAGGCCACAATATATCTATTGGGAGAGGAATATATTGTCTAAACACATGTCAAAGATACAATATATCATAACAAGTCATTAATCCTTCATTAAGCTCAAAATTCTATTACACCACAATATTAGAGCATATGTTTCTTGCATTCAAAAACATGGAACATCAAAGAACAAGCATGAATTGTCTCCCCCATCTAACACTACATTACAACTACACTACTAGCATGAAAATAAACTAAGGGAGATGTACAATCCATGAAGGAATAAGTATGAACCATCAAAAGACATAACAAGAGCATTCTATTAAGCACTAATGTCTAGCCATCACTAGATTCTCAATTAACCACACATAGACATGCAATTAATATAGAAAAACTAGTGTAGAGATCAATTCCCCAAATAATCACACATAAGACAACATGTAATTAAAATAGAGAATCAATGGAAGAATTAACCCATATGAATCATGTGAGACATAATTCCTAATTTAATCACACATAGACATGTAAATAAACTAGAGAATTAATAGGAAGAATTAGACCATGGAAATCATAGAAATATACTAAGATTCATGAAATTCACAAGGCTAGAACACTAATCATAACAATATATATATAAATCCCCAAAAATAGAAATACAAAGGTTTAGATTACACAAGACTTAGGGCTCATCCAAGCCCTAAGTGTAGATCTAGTCAATCATGGAGGAGGTGGATGTAGTCATGGAATCAAGCTCCAAACATGGCTCCATCTTCTTCTTCCTCTTCTTCTTCTTCTTCTTTGAAGCTCTAGAGATGGAGAGATAGTGGATTTAGAGATGTGTTCTTGAGATGTGCCTCCACTTCTCTCTTTTCTTCTAACCCTAATCTCTAACTTTTCTAGAGAGAAAAATAAAAATTACAATATAGAAAATAAAATGATAAAAAGCCTAATGAATCCTCTTTTACAAATGGGTTGCTTCCCTTTATATAGAAGGTCCTTTTCTTAGTCACTAAGTCTAGAATATATGCCCAAAAATATCTAATCCCGCAACTTTTTGATAGGTGAACTTTTGGGCGCGCACGGAAAAAGTGACAGCTTGCTGCCAGCATGTCCAGTTCGATCGATCCAACTTATTTTCGATCGATCCAACTTTTCTGATCGATCCAACTTTTCTGATCGATCCAACTAAAAGTTCGATCGATCCAACTTTTTCTGCGATCCATCCAACTATTCAGCTTTTCAGTATCAGCTTCTTTTTGCTCCAAATCAGCCTCTTTTTGCTCTGGATCATCGCTAAGACTTAGTTTGACTCCAAAAAGGCCTTAAGAACTCATTTTTAGCCCATTTTAACATTATTGACCTGAAATAGACAAACACACAAATAAGTACTAAAACGGGTAAATAAGATAGATAAAGGTCCTAGAATACTCAAGCTTAAGGGGTTTAAATTTGTACTTTTCAGCGCTCATCACACCCCCAAACTTAAATATTGCTAGTCCCTAGCAATGAACTACGAAGTAAGGAATGAAATGAGTAACTAAACAATTATGAACTAGAAAGCAATAAAATGATAGCGCCACTTTCGTAGGGAACACGATTGCATTTACCATATGCAACAAGCCTTTTAAACCCCTAAGTTACCCCTAGTGGACGAGTGAAGTCTCGTGAGGGTTTCCAGAAATGGTACCCACAAACATTAAGCTCATTCTTTCAAAAGAGGCACCAATATTGCAAACAAGCATTGAGAGAAAACTACCTCAAGTATGCAATTTTTCAACCATTTCTAAGCAATCTCCTAAAATCTCAGCATCAAATAAGCAAGTATGGTCCTCCACATATCAAGAAAATGATCATGAAAATCGAAACAAGTCTAGAATCCATGTGAGAGGTCCGGCATCAAGTGTGTTGCTATCTTAGCCAATTAGAGAAGTAATCACATCCTTACCCTCAAACTAGCACACAAATCTAGTACCGATCATCAAGATAAGAGAGTGGACCTTTTATTAAAACTTTATTCTTCTAGGTGCGCTTATTCTTTTCACTCATTTTTTTTTATTTATTTTATTTATTTTTAAATTTTTTTTTATTGAGGATCAAAGATGGAAATATTGTGCAATGTGTTGATCTCTTAAGCTTTCTAGAAGATTCATGTAGCGAGCGTTAGGTCAATGACTCCCAAACCAGATGGCTTTAGGGCATTAGGTGTTAAGACACCCCTACGGACTTACAAACTCAAATCAACTAGGTTACAAATCAAGACAACAACCATCTAATCATTTCCCACTTCTCGCTTTTTGGGAGAAGTCCTCACTTTTATTGCTTGTTGCAGCTTCTTTTTTTTTTTTTTTTTTTTTTTTTCTTCTTTTTTTTTTCAATTATTAACCTAGAGTTTTTGCCCTCCACCTTTCGGCGCGAGAAGTTCACTGCTTAATGAGGCAAGAATCCCGGCTACTCAATGAAAAGGGGTTGTTATCCACCTTTATCAAGAATGAAAGCTTTCAATGCACTACTAGCCCAATTGGGATATAACCAATTCAATAATCAACAAAGCATGTACCCCACAAATGAATGCTAGTGTGCACCGGTGCTAGTGTAGAATCCTAGAATGAATCTCAAAACAATCACAAATTCAGGATGATGTGGACCACAAATGCAAGCAAGATATTAATCTTTTGAAAAATTTACTCCTAAATGGCATCCTCAAGGCATACAAGGAGTATTGGCCTCTCAAGTCAAGCAATTTTTAAATTTTAAGCAATATAGTCCTCAAAAGATCAAAATCATAGTTAACATCAATTTCAAATCTCAATCATGCATTTAAAGCTCAAATCTTAAGTA